AAAATTTTGATAAATTTTTTGGTGTTCCTATAACAAAAATTGTTAAAAAAACTAGTATTATACAAACTTGAGGTTCCAAACAGGCCCTAAGTTTCTGTGAAATACCTAAAGTTTAGTGGAAAACATCATAACATGGAATGAGAACTCCATTCATTAAATTACCTTCCAGTATAACCTGGAATTCTACACAGATATCAACTTCTCTAATATAATTGCTTCTAAACCTACCAAGAACTATAAAGTCGTAGGTAAAACGTAGACCAAGGAAATGTCTATTTTGCAAGTTCGGTACGGCATATGTAACATGGAATGATATAAAAATTTTGGGGGGGGGGGGGTGGTGGATTCAATAATTCCGTCAACATCATAACACCTTTTGCTTCTAGTTGTCGCAGGAGACTTGGAAATTGAACGAATAGATAGATGTGAAATTATAAGTTGATGTTTTTGGTCAAGTGATGCGTGATCTGATAAGGACTGAAGGTAACTTCCGCGGTCTTTTCTGTCGATTGTCTAATTTCAAAAAAGAATAGGGGGGAAAAAATAGGAAATAGGTCATATGAAATTGACAGCCAAATTAATATAATAATATAATGGGAAGATCCGGGGCAAGTTACTCCTATGGAAGACTCGCTCAAAACTCGTAACTACTTATAATAAGAAGGTTAGAGTTACTTTCTAAAAGTCAAACAGTTGAGATGAATGCCTCTTCTTCCCTTAATTCGAGTTATCCCCCTTCCTTCATTTTTTTTTTTAATTTTTGGGTTTTCATATTTTTGATCGAGTTATCCCGGATACCACTATAATATTCGCAAGCACTCCAATTGTTCATTGTCCGGAGTTATCTACCGGATCATTTTATTGATGCTAAACAGGTAATTATTTTATGAAAACAGGTGAAACATAGGGAAAAAACCAAAAATAAGAGGAAAAGGACACATTTTTAACAATCATGTTCCCATTTTTCAAAGATAGCTCACATGTTAATTCTCGCTTTCATTTCATCGGTGCTTGTGGGTGGGTCTTTGCGCGTCGCGAGGACTTTTAAAAGGCTCATGGGGCGATGAACTAATTTTAAGACTCTTGTCCTTTTCATTTAACAATTTTGGGTTAGATTTGACTTAGGGTGATTAAATAAATACTCCCTCCGTCCCATTTTGTTAGTCTTGGTTTTTTTTTCACACAGATTAAGAAAGTGTAATTAATTTGGTTGGAAACATAAATTTAGATTAATAATTTCCTAAAATACCCTTATGCTAATCACGAAGAGTGCCAATTAATATCAGTTACAGCTAATGGGTTAGTATTGGAAAAACTCAATGTATTCAATGTAGTGGGTTAGTATTTAATAACAATGTATTAATAACAAAATATTTAATAAGGGTATTTTAGACAATTTAAAAGATTATTACATTTCTTAATGGGAAAGTGGACTACAATTTGGGACGGACGAAAAAGGAAAACAAGACTAACAAAATGGGACGGAGGGAGTACTAGGAATTTGGTTGCTGCGGAGTGGAGTCTCAGGTAGGTTACTCAAATATATTATGGGTCTATCTATCCGAGGGTATTCAATGAGGATTCATTAATGAATATGTACTTTCAGTTGTTTAGATTTTTGGTAAGGTTAGATTAATTATGAAAATTGTATAAATGGAAGGAATGATAAAAACTGTTAGTACTTGCGTATGAATAAATCTTATATACACTGACTGACTGACAGTATATATATACTGTCAAGGTTGGATGCATGACACATGAATAAAATTTAGATTTTAATTTTAAATTTAAATAAATTGTCACGTATCTAACGATGATGACATATACACTATTCGTATATAAAAGATTAATTATTTGTATATATATATATACATGGTAAGTTAAATGAAATTTGAACGTAAATAACAGTGAGTGTCCAAAATAGCGCCCGCTAGAAAAACTCAAATATTATTAGTGGAACCAAAGGCGCCTCTCAGAACTTACCCAACGAAAGTATGATTAAACATCCACGAATGCCTTATAATAATATACCTTAAGCACAATCCCTACTAATTTGTTAAGGCCATGCCAGGGATCGCGGGGCATTTGCTTTAAACTGCCAAAATACATAGAGCACTGGCGGATGCTGATCCACTATTAGACACCATTTTACTACTGCATCAAATTCGTGGCTGCAGGCGGAAGAGCTCTCTTTGGGGCTAATAATAATAATAACAACTGCCTTGCCTGCACTGCATCATAATTGCGTCTAATAATTCATCGCCCCGCTATTGATTGATTTTAAACTCGTCATTGCGTTGATGAAAAGAAAGTAGTGCGCTCCATGCTCGTGTCGGATGATCCACTCTCATCGTTCTTATGTGAAAATTAATTAATTAATAAGCAAGTCATTTCTATAATTGATTGATAACCACTGATGTTACCGTCCGATCATCCTCTTACTTTCTAGAAAGGATCAAGGATCAGTAACGGTATACGTATTAAAAATGGGAAGAAAAAAGGGTCATTATTAATTCCAGAAAGCAGCAGACGAGTAGAAGTTAAATCAATATTTGCATTACCACTGGAAGGAATGATATCCATTCAATGGCAAGAAATTATAGGCTCCCAAAAGGGCATATTAAAGTCAGATGGACAACGTACAAAGCAGAAATGGTCATTATTAAAGCTTCTATAATCGGTCATTATTATTAGATAACGTAGTGGCATGGGGACTAGCATTTGGACAATAAGTTATACTACTATTATGTAGTGCTCATCATATTCAGATCGATAAACACAATTTATTTTATTGCTGATGCTAATTACTCCGCAATTTAATTTTGAGTTTCTTAAAATAATAATACTCCTAGTCGTTGGAGCTGGAGCCATCAGCCAACTAGAGCCAAGAGAAGGAACACAAGAACAACAGCCTAGGAGATATCGAAACTACACTTTCTACCTTCACCGGAGTTTCTGCCGCCCTCCGCAAGAGTCAGGACAACATCATCATCGTGGTACCGTGCCGTCGCTTTCTTCTACTTCCAACTTTTCTTTTCCAGCACTACGGTACATATTTGCATGAACGCATTCTCCGATTTGCTGGAAAACATGAGGTCAGAATCATCATTAGATCACGACAGAGGGCAACGTGCTCTTGACGATGCATTTCCTTGTTTCTTTCTTTTCTAACGAGTTTGTCTTTTTTGGATTTCAGAATCTCTCTTTCTTCTTCTTTTTTTTTTTCTGCCAAATTATTATGTACTATGATGAGATATTTGAAGCTTTCTGTTGTGATTAACCACTACTACTGGTTCTTTTAGCTCGCTACTTTTATGTGGCGCAGTTAGGACCTAATCACCAATGATAACTTTTCTTTTTCCCTTTATAATAATCTCTTATTCTATTTTATTTTTTGCTTAAACAAAAAATTTATCAGAGAAACTTTCATCATATTAGGGACTTCCACCAGGAATTGGGAAAAAAAAAAAATTAATACGCCTGTTGGCCTGAACAATATAATGAGCAGCTAGCTATGTTACATCCATGATCGCCTGTTGGCAAATGACGGCTATTGATATTAAATTGGATCATCAAATTTCTGACCTCATCAAACTTTCTTACTAGCAGAGTTCCCTTTCTTCCAATGTATTATTCTCAGTCCGAGTTTTCCTCTCAAACAAAAAATTATTAAACAGCTTAACAAGGTGCTTTTATTTCTAACACTTCTTTCTTTGGTTTCCACCGCCAGCAGTTTCTACTTTCTAGATGAGAGACACCCATTGTAAAATGACTCTCTCATTTTCGTGGCAATTGACCCTGTGTTTTAAGTCATTATCGTTTGGTCCACTATGTCAACGCCTTATTTAAGCATGGAGTATAATTTTAAATTTTGGGTTTGTGTAATGGGGGTAGGACATAAAAGAAAAGTAGGGCTGCACGACCCATTACATCCTTTTTTTTTTTTTTTTGGGGGTTCTTTTTCAATATTCTTCTTCTTCTTTTTTGGGAATACATTTTTGAAAGGCAAGTGATATTGTCGCAACCCTAATTGTAAATTCATAGCAATTTTGATTAAAACAAGAATAGCTTGTATACCACAAAAATTATCCCTTTCAAGTCTTTAACTTGCATTTTGGCTTAAGAAGGGCAAGTTTGAGCATTTAATACAAGAATAACTATGGAAATAAAATTTTTAGGCCGTGGCATCATCATCATCATCATCAAGGGTTGTTTTGGTACACTTTTTTATTATTTTTAACTATGATCTAGAGCTCAAAAATGGATTTAAAACCCTTTTAATGACCAATTTGTCAGGGGCTTATGACATTAGCAGCAGCCTTTTTGATTAGTACAATTGCGTGATTCATCTGTTGGTGGCCCTTAAGAAACGTCCAACTTATCATGTACTTGGAATAAGCTCAGTCAACGCGTAGCACTAATTTTTTTTTCCTTAAAAACCGTGTAGCACTTAATTATATATAGATCTTCCGAGGAGCATTGCCCAAAATCTGAACGCTTGCCGAGGAAGAGGAAATGCTGTGACCCGCAAAGATCCTACCCTAAAAAGTCATATGTATCATAGTGGGCTTTAGCGCTGAGCCAAGTCAGCGGGGGTCTATCACAGTTTCTCGCACGGCCTCAAAAGTAGCCTGGGCATTTGACCCAACAAAGATAAGTATGGCCCGATGGTGATGTACCAAGTACCAGGAATTGATTAGGCTCCATTCATCGACTGATGGCTTGAAGTCAGGATATGCCACTGTCCAGCACCTATTCGCTGAAAAGCCCAAGATGGGACGTTGGGGGAAAGAGGGAACCAGGACTCATGTAGTGTTTTGTGGACTCATGGATTTGTTGCGCACGTACTATTGTCCAACATAACCGCAACAAATCCATATATTGCTGAGATCGCGTAATTTTAAAGCCATGTTCTCTTTCTTGTTTGACTGAAGTGTAGATGAACTTTTTCTATACAACTTTTTATTTTTGCTTTGACCGTCATACAGATGATGTCACTTTTCTAATTTAGACACGAGCAGTGTAGTAATTGAAGTTTCGGTTCACTAATCTCAAATCCTTTTTAATTAAGTGTTTGATCGTGCAGGTATGTAGAGATATTGTGTTATAGTCTACCAGTTCAAATGTTCTGGCGGCGGCCGGTTAGCAACAAAAGAATACAGATCAGGATGTCAAAAATATCTTCGCAATTATTGAAACACCAAGTCAGTTCCTTTCAGGATGTACCAAGAGCACAAGAAAATCAAAGTCAATTTCTTGTGCAGAATATTTCCGAATAAATAAATTGTGTTTGTACAGAAATCATATGCATTTTCAAAAGGTGGACCATTTCTACAACGCGAATTCTTATTTGAGCTTGTCAGCAGCCACAAGCCCTGAAATGAAAAGGATCTCAAGAGTAGCCTCCGTGATTCAATCGTCGTCATGATAAAAGATTAATGGAGAATACAGGCCGTGCTCGCAGGCATGTGAATGTTCGACCTCCAAATTGTGGGAATCTCATAACAATTCTTAGTATTGATGGGGGAGGAATAAGAGGAATCATTCCTGGAGTAATCCTAGCATACTTAGAATCGCAGCTTCAGGTAACAAAAACAGTAGTTCTTTCGGGATTATCCATTGTACTTGTTATATAATTCCTGTGCAAAACCTACGTACATCTGTTTTCATGATAACATTATCAAGAATCGTGGAACGTACGTGTATTACTGGTGATGATGATGAATGGTTCAGGAGCTAGATGGTGAGGAAGCAAGGATTGCAGATTACTTTGATGTGATAGCAGGGACAAGCACCGGCGGTCTGATAACGGCCATGCTTGCTGCTCCCAATGAAAATCACCGACCATTATATGCTGCCAAAGATATAGTTCCTTTCTACCTGGAAAACTCCCCCAAAATCTTCCCACAGATTGGGTAAAAAAAAACTTGGCTTCAATTGATCATGCTTGACATTCCACACATACCATGCGGGAGTAGTACTGCTATACTAGCCGTTATTATGTCTGAGCTTGACTATACAAACTTGTGTGCACATAAGTACATATGCACAAACTGTGTCATCACTAAGTGCAAAGTTTCAGGTGAAATTAATCAATCTTATTACATTTACCATGAACATTCCACGCGTGCAAAAACTTATCGCGGTTTGCCAATTGAAAATTGTGATCTTATGTGAAATTGCAAGAATTTCTCAATTTATTGACGTATTTGTTAGCTTTTGAGCCTTGACGCAATTTGATTATGTTTCTACTCTCTCGCGAACGGTATAGAGGACCATTTGGAGGGGTGGTAAATGCATTCAAAACATTGATAGGACCAGGCTACGATGGTAAATATGTTCAACAACTTATAAAGAGTAACCTAGGGAGCACGAGGTTGCACCAAACCTTGACTTCGATTGTTGTTCCAACTTTTGATATCAAGATTCTTCAGCCAGTCATCTTCAGCTCATATCAGGTGCCCTTCCCCTCCAGTCTCTCCCTGTATTTTTGTAAATTTTCACGTTAAAACCAGAAAAAAAAAGGGGGGGGGGGGGATTGTATCAACACCGCCGCATCAAGCAATATGCTTATGATTTAATGCTGTGGTACGCCTTTTAATTTACTTCCCAAGTCTAGTTATAAATAATAACAAAGTAATCTGAAGAACTTTTAAGTTTATACACTCCTTTTGCAGGTGACGGACAACCCTGTCGTGGATGCATTACTATCAGATATATGCATTGGCACCTCGGCAGCACCAACTTTTCTTCCTGCTTACTACTTCAAGAACTCAGATGCGCAAGGGAATGAACGAGAATTCAACCTTATTGATGGTGGGATTGCTGCTAACAACCCGGTAATTAGTAATCCTACGTTGATTGCACTGCTAGCCCTTAAATTAACTACTATTACTGACGTTAATTTAGATCGGATAAATTACACTAGTCGAAGTAGTAATCGAACTAATTAGTGGAAACGAAATACTAGACTTCTATTTCCCCATGTAATCCATCTTCTATGTAATTCCAGACATTGGTTGCCGTCAGTGAAGTAACCAAGCAAGTGATGAAGAAGAACCCTGATTTCTTTCCAATAAAGCCTATGGACTATGGACGGTTCCTTGTTATCTCGCTAGGGACAGGCTCTGACAAAAATGAGCACACGTACAACGCTAAAATGGCTTCCAAGTGGGGGGTTTTTGGGTGGCTGTACTACAAGGGTTCCACTCCATTAATCAAGGCTGTTAATCAAGCAAGTGCTGATATGGTTGATTTCCACAACTCCGTGGTTTTCCAAGCCCTTCATTCCGACGATAATTACCTCCGAATCCAAGTAAAGTTCTATCATGATTCCTTGTCATTTAAATTACCCATTCCTAATTTTGTCATAAGCGCTTCAAGGGCTTGTGAAATCATGCTCCTGTTCTACTAACATTTCATGCGTGGAAATTTTTTTTTTTTTTAAAAAAAAAAAAAACAGGATGATGCTTTGACTGGGACTTTATCCTCCGTTGCCACAGCAACGAAGCAGAACTTAGATAATCTTGTCAAGGTTGGTGAAGAGTTGTTGAAGAAACCAGTTTTAAGGGTTAATTTGACTTCTGGTGACCATGAACCAGTTGAGAACGGTGGAACCAACATGGATGCATTAACAAGGTATTAGTCACGTATTAGTGTTTGTTGTAAATACATAACTACGTGGACGTCAACCATCGTCAAAATCTGACTCCAAAATACCAATGCATCCCTTCGCATTTTTGCAGGTTTGCTCAATTACTGTCGGATGAAAGAAAGCTCCGAGATGCAAACTTTGGCAGGATGAGCGGTTCGACATCGTATTAATTCATGTTTATTGTTTCTCATATTTTGTCCGTCGAGCTGAGCCGCGTGCCGATGGGTCAGTCAATTCAGTCTTGCTACATGTTTCCTGAGCTACCGGTCTGTTTTCTCTTTTCACGACTGTCTGTCCATACCAGAAAGTCTGCAAATCAACCAAGTCATTTCTTTCGAAACCCTCCAAGCAATGCGTAAATTATAAATTCGTTACGACTTTCTTTGTCTTAGTACTATGCTAATGAACTCCGCGCACAGATAATTCGGGTAGGTTTGGACAAGTCATAACAATTGGATAATGGATATAATTGGATCAATTCATGGGTATCCATTTATACTCATTTAATAAATGTGTATGAATATAACCAATTGTTTATTTCTAAGTCACTTGAAATTCTGCTTAATTTTTTTCACACATTGTTTGACAAAAAATAATAGTATTTTACTGTTATTAGATTGATAAGAAATTCAAATTTGTTTGCTTAATATTTACTAAAAAGTTGAATCTAATTGTATAATTATTTTTAAATAAATATAAGTAGATAAGTTGAGTCAATTCATTACCCACCAATTAAATAAATTTAATTAGATATCTCTTTAAACCCATTCAAAATTAATAAACGAATTTGTGCGTGCTATTGATCAACAGAATTGAACGGATCAATATAATTAAATTATAATTAACACCTTTATGTACGACAGTAGACCTCCATACCATCCCGGCCAAGAGACCAGCTTGCTCCCCTACCCCTCTTAAATTAAATTATTCTACTCAGTGAATGATCTGGCACAAAATCAGTGTCTTAAAACGCAATGTAGTAAGACAATAAAGGATAATAAACTGGATTAGATTAGACACTGTGTCTAGTAGGTTATACTGGCGCCCTCTGTACAATCAGTACTCTTCTTGGGGAAATTTAAAAAAAAGAAAAAAAGAAAAAAAGGCTAGGGTTCAAGCGAGAACGACCTTTCTCCCCAAATAGGACAATTTATTTTAAATAGATACAACCAACCAGCCCATAACCTAAAAGCGAGTGCACTGTTGCAAACCAGTATTGTCCATAGTAGAGTTACTGAGAGTTCAAGGTTAACCAATCCAAAACTTTTGGTTAACACCTCTCCTCTCAAACCAAAAAATACCTGTAAAATTGTACAGAAAAACTGGTTTCATTCGTTGACGGATTAGTTAGACCCCTATAAATTCTACTATACAATTGAACAAAATAATGGATATAATGAATGAACAAATTGAACGGATACCACCATAATATACATCCTAAATTCTAATCACGCAAATATCTGCTGAATTACCAACTCTGCGTTCCCATTATACTGCCCCAAAAGATGAATAGCATCGGCTCTTGGCAAAGCAAGAAATTCCTGCAGAGAAAACAATTCTGGAAGTTATGAAAATCGCCATGTCCAAAGAGGGATAAAGTAACAAGTCAGACATATCCAAAACATATATAGATCATAAAAAATGAAATTCAGCATCAAGCAGCCCATATTCTAAAAAAAGATTCAAACATACAATGTGATGAGCTCAAACTTCACGCAAACATATATCTCATAAAACCTTTACTCCGACACTCAATGTGACGGGCGATTTTGAAGCATGTAGCAAACTGTCATTTAAGTGTTGGAAGCAATTATTGATGTTCTATGAGTGTCGAAAGCAAGCTTGGCTCACCATAACTTTAAGAATTGCATTTTCATCACATGCAACCTCAGAAGATGATATCTGAGCAGGACTGCCAACATCTTCATGCACCCTACTACTTGAGGACATCGTGGCTTGAGAAGAACCAGGGTCTGAAGTATCACTTAATCTTGAAGCAGCATCAGCAAGCAAAGAAGTTCCAACTTCTTTTAACGAACTGATCCTTAAGAAACCTTCAAATCGATCTTTACACATCTGAAGTTTGAACCATTCATTATGCGTGTATAGGGTTGCCTTCATGATCTTCATTAGCTGAGGTTCATCAATACCAAACCTTCTACCAATAGCAACCTTTACACAAGAAAATACATCTCATATTTTCATTGACAGAAAATTCCCATAATTAGATAAAGCAAAATAAGAAACATGGGTTTTTGAAGGAAAAAATTCATTTCATTCACTGAGCTTCAACATGTTAGGCCTATTGATGGCCCAATTGGTTTGGTTTACTCCACCAAGCCTTTTACTAAATTTAAACAAGTTTAGTACGTGAACATAGCAAAAAGCATTAACAAGAAGTATGACCAAGGTCAAAACATTTGCTTCACAACCTTTCAGCTTTCATTTAGACAAGATGAAAAAAGCTTCTGCAAACTGCATTGAGCAAAGATGCATTTTAATCACTAGAAATTTTAAGATATTCTGGAACTTTGCTGGTACCGTTACACATTTCTTTACATTGCTGAAAATTCGCATTCCACAGGAGTTAGAAATTTATGATCAACAATATCTCAATAATCAAAAGCTGTAAGCAATTACTAACTAAAGCAGCGTCTCTATTTTCAATATGAAATGTAACTCATAACTCGAACCTGAACTGAAGTTGCAAGAGCATGCAAGGGTAAGCGTTCACCAAATGCCTCCTCATTAGGTCTAAGCAAAGCAAACAGAGTCTCTTTTAAGGGTCTAAGCAGAACTGGATCCCTAGCTGCCAAAGGACCTAGATGGGAACAGGCTACTCTTAAAGCACGGGAATGATCACCAGAACCAACTAGCTTTAAAAATTCAACCTGCAAAAAGACAGAGTCAGCCAGTTTATAGGCCAAACAACACAAATAATCTCTCCTATTCTCTGAAGTAATAGCAAATAGCAAAAGAAATGGTTTACCTGCTTAAGTTGGAACAGTAAATCAGGATTTTGGACAAAAAAATTTGGGTCCATAGAATTTATCTCCTCCACAACTTCTGCTGTCATTCCTCTGCAAGCTAATTCTTTCATGGCCAACACCAAATCATATTTGTCCTCCCTATAAACTACACCATCCACAATCAATGAGCTTTCAGCCTGCAAAAGCAGAGTGACAACTTAAGTTTCATTACAGAAACAATAAGAGCTGTAACCAAAGACCTTCTCTCAAGGCACTTCCTGCAATACAAGGTAGAAGCAATGACCTCTTCTCTGCAGCTTCCACTAAGAACTTCCGAGACAAATCCAATTTTCTCATGTCTTCCCCTCCAGCGCTTACGTTTATTTCTCTCTCCAATACCATGATTTCTATTTCTCAGCTGAACTTTCAAACTGTCAGGTTGATGTGCTCCACTAGTGCTACAGTCTTCATAATTGCCAGCTGTCTCAGAAGGGTAACGCTCGTTGATATCTGTAGTCTGTGTGCTCATGACATCAATTGGGCCTTCAGGAGAACCATCCATGTGAGAAATATCAGTAGAAGGTTCATCATCGGAAACTTTACTGCTATCACAATTGACCTCAGTAGAATCATTTTGTACTGAGCAGCACCATGGACCTGATTTATTAACATCTGCTGGTTGAGATGTATTAGCAGAGTCCACAATACCTCTGTAGACACAATACTCGTGAACAAGCTCATCAAGAACAGATTCATTCAATTTCATACGGCATAATTCATTCTGTGCAAGCAACCAACAACAGAAATGTTGTAAGATCTAAATAACATGGGAATAGGAACAAAAAGAACAAGCATTATGAGATAAACATGCTTGTAAAAGTGAACTAAGAAACACCACTTATGGCAACCTGAAACGCTTGAACTAAGTCGCCCTTGGCAAACTTTAGGCTATCAACTGCCCCTTGCCTAGTGAGCTCCACTGCATGAGCAAGGGCTTGTATATCCACCTGATTGGAACCGAGAACAAGGTTAAACTTTGAGTCAAAATCCAGAAATGTAGAACAATCAGTGTGGAACTGATTCTTGATACAAGGCAAGGCAGAAGCTGTGCCACCCAGGTTTTAGTGTTTCTGACATATGTTGAGCTCCCCAAAAAAGTACATATAAAATTTTAAAAAATACAAGAACAATAAATGGCACCTCGTCAAAAGGTGATGCTTCATACATGCTCTCCTGTGGTATTGGAGCGGGGTCACGTTCTTCAAGGAGCAATCTCTCAGTAAGATTTGATATAGGTGATACAACTCCTTGACGAAAACAAAAACCTTTGTGTATGCTATATAACACAAAAATTCATCAAAAAGAATGGTTTAACCATGTGTGCCATAGAAAAAGATAATAGAGCACACGTCTCTCTTCTCTGTGGGTGTGTCCCTGTTAGAGAGTAAGGGGTCTGTGTGCATGTTTGTACGTGTCTGTAGAATAGAGAAAGATAGATAAATGAGAAGAAAGTGGTATTTACCTTATCAAATATCTCAGCGTCATTGAGAACACAGGGTCATATGCATTAAGATTGGCCCTTAAAACAGAAGATAGTAATCCAGCAATTTCGAACCTCCTCGTTTCAGACCACTAAAAACAAGGATGTGGAGCCATTAAAAGATGTATTAAGCAGACCTAACTCATAGTGACCATACTCAACTACAACTGATGAGCTAAATCAAAGTACTGAATCTCATGAACATAATAAATTTCTTCTTCCTGAATTATAACATCAAACTAAGGACATTCTAGGAATTTAATAATTTTAAAAAAATCAGAGGTTTATAACTAGGAACTAAGTTCACCAGGTATTACTTTACACAAGATGCCACACAGCCAACATAAACTTCCAACAAATTCCATTCCCTCTTGCTGCCTCATGCATAGAATATTGTTGACAGGAAAGTACATTTGCATGTCAAACATCCACTTGGTACATATATAGCTATATGGGTGATGTAATTCCACAAGAATATATGAGCGTAATGCAGCCAATCAATTAGAAAAAGCCATTCCTAAACTTAATGACAGCTATAAGCCAGGAGTACCAGAAAAACTTCCCTTTTTCTCCAAATATTAAATGCCCATTAACAGGGGCAGAGCTGATAGGAACAGCGCCCCAAACACAATTGGAAAATACATTTAAATTAACCTATCCACCTAGAAGATTTTTCACAGGATCCCTAACAAAACCCAGACCAGATTAAAGCATTTCGCAGAGAGTGACACCATACACAAAGAGATTAATGACTTAAAGGAAATACCTAGGTGACCTCATGTAAATCCCTAAAAAAGAAAAGTGCCAATATTCATTTAAAATGGAATATGATAATCACAAATCAAATTAGGTTATCTCCCTAATGTCCGTCAGATTCGTATCAGAAATTATAAATGTATCAATACCGTCAGTTCACATTCCATTTATACAGATATCTTCATTGAAACACATAGTAATAGACAAGTTTATAAAGCTTAAAAAGGTCCACAAAAAAATTCAGTTCAAAAGTTCATATTCTCTCTCTCTCTCTCTCTCTCTCTCTCTCTCTCTCTATATATATATATATAAGGTCCCAGGCCTTCCACTGATCATGAAAGGATAAATGTGACATGAAAAAATGCATAACAGAAATCAGGATGTTCCAAAATATTGCTTTGATATGACATTTCATGTGACAATGCTGATTAAAATGTCATAAAATGGAAAACTGAGCATGTAAAAAGATCTTATATGTCAAGAATACCAACCTCATCAGCCACTGGAGAGCTTTGATCATCTTTATCATAGATAAAGGCAAGAAGGACGTGTTTAAATTCCTCGTATGCTTCCTTCAAAACACACAGGAAATAACTTGCATCATATGTCCATCACAAACAAGGAGTTTATCAGCATTAACCAATCAAATTTTCCAGATAAATGAATTAATCTGATTGCCCTCACCCAAACCACCCTTCTCTTTCTTCTTTTTACTGTTTTTTTGAGAGGTGGGTGGTCTTTGAGAATGATTTCGAGAACAGATCAAACTCCTGTGCCACCAAGGCATTGATATTCAGTGTGAAAGAAATCACACTAGAAGACGGGACAATTATAGGGACAGTTTTCATATTAGGTATGGTCTGAGAGTGCTGATCACTTCTTTGCTCGGTCTAATCTATCTGAAAAACCGGGAGGCAGAGACTTCTACGACTATGTCAAGCATTAGCTGGGCCATCAATTGCACCTAACATAGGATACATGCCAAAGCAAAAATTCCAATGCAATCAATATCAAAAAGACCTGAAACTAACCAGTTACCATGTAATATTCTAAACAATTTGAGGTGACACATACCAAATAGAACTCCTCTTCTAGAGGAGATTTCACTGCTGGATACACCAAAGATAGGAGATTACGCAAACATAGAAGAACCTATCTAAAAGCCCCTAGAGGTAACACAATTCCAATTGATTAGTCCCCAAGTAGCATGTAGATGCTGCCAAAAACTTCCACAATATCTCCAACCCCACTCCTTTATTCTCATCTTATTTCTAACGAATTGTTTATGCCCCTAAAAACAAAAATTAAGAATATTATGGACATAACATATTAAAGATGTAAGGCTAAGCATAAACATGCTTTGGTCAATAAGATTCTTCTGTCCAGCCACCTTTACGTACAAATGGACCTCTCCTTTCAGGCTAAAATAAAAAATTGCCAGTCCAATACCACTGTGCCAGTGTAGTTGACATTAACAGACTTTACTCGTGTTTCCAACATAATTAAAAAGGTGATAATTTGACAGCGTTCTTTAGTAAACTCAATTTCAGTTATTTACGTGGAAAACAAATAGATACACAAATTAGACTTTACAAATCGAGCTGTATCACAAATTAGTCTTTACAAATTTGAACTGGAACATGATGTTCTCCCTCAATACGTAAATTTCAAGTATACTAATCCCTAGATTTCACAATCTTATGCAGCAGGCAATCGGAGTTAAAGAGCTCTGATGCTATATTCTCATTCATTCGAACAGCATCAATAACTTCTAACCTAATTAGCGGTAAAACAAAATACCGGATAAGCATCAAGTGCACAAGGCGCGAGAGCCGTTCGTAAACAATTCATTGCCGCATCACGATCCTCCTCCGTTCCTTTCCTTAGCAATTCAACAAATTTCTGCCAAAAGAAGTTCACCAGTAAATAAGAATTCCACCGACATTTTCCCGAAGTTTAAGTTCCAAGCGGACAAGCTTTTACCTGCTTCTGTAAACGGAAGAGAAGGCGGTGATCATCGAGAGCAAAAGGTGCGTGGAGGCGCAAGAGATCCAAGGCGACATCGATATCGCCGGCTTCCAGTGACCGCCTGATCTGCCGTATCAGCAAGCGCGAGTGATACGAAGACAGAGACGATAACGAAGACGACGGCGAAGAAGACGGCGTTGAATCTTCGATCAAATTTTCGGATTTCGCGAAATCGATGACGAGAGCGTCGAGAGCTTCCCAATTCACAGGCATGGATTCCATTACTGAGTTTCGTGTTTCAACGTTCCTTCGTTTAAGTGAAACTATGGATAGGCAAGAGGAGTACACGGACTTTCGAGACAGAGAAATTTGAGGGGGAGTTGTTTTAGCACCTTTTTCTTTTATATATATAAAATTTATTATTTTTTCATTTATTTTTAGCAAATTACTGAATTTACAAAGGCAACGACCAGGGTAGGATAAAAATGCATCCCCCGTTTTCCAATTCCCAGTTTTGTGAACGGTAGAAGTCAAATTCATGAAGGAAAAAGAAAAAACTTCGGGCAGATATCATTTTGGAGATTCTTTGTGTATCTAATCATGGCTTTCGTACGAGTCCTGCTAAAAGCAATTAACGCCCTCTTTGAATAATATAATATTAGATTAGACGTTAATTATTTAATTAAAGACGACAAATAATTTTTTCGACTGAAAAATTATAAAAATAATTTGGTAACTGAAGTACAGAATAAAATCTTTGCTATAGTACGAAAGATGTTGAAAGCATCTTTTCTATTAGTACGACAACAAGGCCAGTGACTTTCCAAAGTCAAAATCATTTTTGCATTTCAAACCACCTAGCCCTCTTTTTTTTTTTGGTAAGAGCTAAAAGAAGGGTTCTCCTTTTTCTACTTTCTTGTCAAAAATAATAGAGAAGAATATTGTAGCTTACTGTCAACTTTTTAAACATTTTTATTAAACACTCTTATGCGGTAATAATTATGACGGATAGAACCCCCAAACTCACAAATCAGTTTTCTAGAGATATGGTAATCAAATTAATGTGAAAAAAAAAAACACTTAAAAGCCACGAATAAAAGCTTAAAATCTCTTTGTGGCACATATACGTACAATTGCATCTAGCACTGTTGCAAATGTTCATAAATCACCAAGGTATATTTGGGCAGTACGAGTGCCTAGTGATTGCCCTTGGGTACGGAGAAAACTACAGCCCAGCCATTTGTGAAAATTTTGAGATTGGGGATGGAAATGATACTTCCTTCTGGCATGATCAAAGGCATCCAGCGGGACCATCATATAAACATTTCTCTGGAAATTTGCTTAGAAGCTTTGGTCTACCTGTACACGACCCAGTTGCTAAATGCATTCAAGATGCAGACTGGAGATGGCGGCTATGTGGAGGAAAATCTACTGCTGAAGTACGGCTTCTTAAACAGCTTACTCCTACTGAATTCAGGCCATTCCTTGGGTTGAAGGATACGATTGTGTGGCTGTCAAGTAAGTCTGGCTGTTTTACGGTGAAGTCTGCCTTGCAAGCCATTAGGCAAGCTGGTCCTACAGTTTCTTGGTTCAAATTTCACCCTGTGGTTGCTATGTAAAAGAAGACTGTGCACTAGAGAGCAGAGATAGAATGAAGAAGTGGGGCTGCTTCACTGGATCATTAGATTAGGTTGTGTTCTGCGCTGTAATGCAGAAGAGAGTCTATGCAGCATATCGTCTTTGAATGTGGAGCAACTACAGCAGCATGGAAAAAGAACTTAGAGATGTGGGTCCTGTCTTCAGGGCTGCTTACTCATGGTCTATAGAGCTAGAATGGATATGTACTACTCGCTGGAAATCTGACTCCTTTCTTGATTGTTTCCGTAGACTAGCTTACCATATATCATATATGGAGAGCCCGAAATGAGGTTTTGCATCAGAGAATAGCCCATATAGGTGACTGCTATAAACATTGTGAAGACAGACAGTCATTGACTCCATGCAGCATATATATTATTGTTGAGTCTTGGAGGGGAGTTCCTCATGACAGGAGAATTTGGGAGCTCTTATTGATCGGGGGATTTCTCAAAAGTGCATGTTGATTCCTTTTGTATGGCTTTAGTACACGTGTATAGAGCCATGTAGCTACTATGTGTACGCTTACAAATCTCTATCAATAAAACTTTAATTTTTGCTCCAAAAAAAAAACGAGATGTATTTTTCGTCATGCTTCCTACATGCGCTTACATAATGCATCGTATGGTTGAATCTGCATTGATTTCTTGCACCTCAAACTTCGTAAATTTTCACTTTCGGAAGACTTGGTTCTTTTGCATCCTTCTAGCACGCAACTTCTCCTCTGATAATAGTTTTACAAATCTAGATATACAAGGAAACTCAATATGGTTCCTGCAGGTCTATATGATTCCCCTAATGCCACCTCCGTCAATGCTTAAGACGGTAATCCTTTCTCCATATTTTTCTGGGATCAAATTCGTCGCCGCTATCACAGTTGCACTCCTCCATTTCTAATCTCTTGGCATCAAACTGTCTAATCAAACGAATATAGTTCGCGTTTTACTCAAGAATTGGATTGAATGCGCACGAAATCCATTGGAGAGATTACATTCTGCTTATAGTAATCAATAATGTTCTCCGTATCCCTGTTAACCTCAAGCAAGTGACGGGGTTTAGCACGCACGAGGCCAACATAGACGCGAAATTCTACTACGAAATTTATGGTAGGAAAGGTAAACATGACGAGAATTTATCCACCTGAGGAGTCTTGATATTGGAAACGCTTCTACGAAACCACCTCATCATCCTACTGTACTTTGTAAAGGGCGGCGTTTCCAGTTTGTTGGCAAAGACATGAGAGTCGGTTGAATGAGGTTTGCAGCGCGTCTCCAATTCTTAGACTAAAACTCAGAGAATTGGAGAGCTATACTCAAACACAGGCCCTCAATTGCCTTGCAAGAATTGGAGACACCGTTTTTTTTTACAAAGAAGATATACCTACCAATAAAATGGACTGCCAAACTTCCAACTTCAGTGGTGTGACGTCTCACGTTACAGAGACAAGACCCACACCATTCAGGAATGAATATCCCTTAAATAATAAACAGCGAGATCACGAGAACTGGAAAAAATGCTGTAGTTACACAATCATGTCCTATGGAGTCTGTCTTGCAAAACGACCTTTCATCAAAAATCAAAGAAAAGATTATCACATTGGCCCCCCAACCTTGGAGAGAAGAAGATTCTAAACTGGAGGTGACTGAATCTGAGCGAACAAATGTGTTTGTAGCTTGGAAAGGAACCTGTTCCATGGCTTCCTTCTATTATCTTTAAGAAAAGATATTCGTGCTTTGCTAACACTGAGTCAGTGTCTCAGCACCATTTTCAGTTATCAGGATTGTGTGCTCAAATTGTGCTGATAGGCTCCCATCCTCTGTCACCACCGTCCAGTTATCATCCCACATTATCGGGTTTATGCTGCCAATGGTCAGCATTGGTTCTGCAATTCGTAGATCAACAGAAGCAATTAGCCGCTGGCAACAAATAGTGGGTCGTTGAAGAAGTGCCAATGGTGATGCACCTGCTTAAATCAGTAGTTAGAGAATAGAGGAGAATTATAAGCATATATTACCAATGGTAAACGTCTGATTTAGAAGCATGCGTCCGCGACCATTATTCCCTGAGAATAATGAAATCAGTACCCATAGACAGAATATGAAATAATGAGAGAAAGGAGGGGGCAAGCAATCAATTGCAAAAGGAAGCAAAGGAAAGACATAAACAACTGCCAAGCAAAAAGAATGCAACTTTCTCATATTCTATCTATACTGAAGAGGATATCTTCTCAGTCCGGACTTTCTACAGATCCAAGCTGTAAATTAATGCTCTATGGGTATTAGAGATGAGGGACAAAATTTAACATCCATCTCTCAACTTCTCTTCATTTTACCGGGCATGCCATCGCAGTACCTCATTCTGGATTAATTAGCTGCTTATCTTGAAAAACAATGCAAAAAGATCCTAAGCCTTATATTTCTTTCAAATATCACTTCAAATACATTTGTTCTGAAGAAACCTTTTCTGCGACATAGTCTAGTAGAAAAATAATTAAAATGTCATTTATGCTCTTTGAATACCAGCAAAATTTAGCAATAAAACAGAAAGGCATATGGCTGCAAAAATGGTAACAATTTAATAAACCAGCAGAATTGCCAATAATACTTTGAAAAATACATGATGACACTCTATGAAACAAATCGGTCAACTTTTGTCCTTTCTGTTTTTCCTTTATTGGATAGTTAAGTTTCTACTGCATCTTCTTAAATGGGCTTTGGAGGGAAAATCTGTGGTAATATTTTATTTAAATGAGGTTGAATATTACATTCTCCAAATCTCGCACGCGAGCAAGTAAAGACCACAACTTCAGCCTAACTTCAGGCAAGAAAACCAACAGCAGAATCATGCAATTCAGCATGATAACAAAACAGTCAATGCGAATTAAGCAAAAATTACTGTAATGTAGAATGACTGGATCACTGTGAAAAACACGTCCTACTCCGTGGCCAACAAATTGTTCAACAACTCCATAGCAGTGTTCATCTGCAAGATTACTTCAAAAACAAAAAAGTAAAGTAAGTTATAACTGCACCATGAAATCCATAATATTGCTTACAGATGCAATGGATTGATAACTACCAAAAAATAACAACTCATATATTTCTAAAATCTACTGCAACATTCCTATTATAAAAATCTTTGCCAAGAATATTCGTGAAACTGTGCTTTCAGCCGGCAATCTTTCTGCAAAGCTTATGGGTTTTAAAAACCATTTAGTCACCTGATATCAATCCGTAACAGATCATTATATCTAGTGAATCTATCATATTTCAGAAAGATTCATACCAAAAATATATATCTCAATAAGTAAAACAATTGAAACAGGCAAGACAAACATGAGCATAAGCACCTTCACGGGGGGAGGAGGGAATGCGTGTGTGTGTGTGAGAGGGAGAGAGAGAGAGAGTACTAGACAGGAAACAATTCGAGTAGTAATTTAAAACAAAGAAAAAAAAAATCAAGCAGGTGCCTTACTGGATAGTCTTGCCAATTTTATTAAATTCCACCCCCGGTGCACAGATAGATATTGCCTTGTCTAAGCACTCCTTAGTTACCTAAACCATGACGATATCAATTCATTTCCACAACAATCTTAAAAGTTGAATATAACTGGTACACAAACCACCATAGAAATATAAAATCAACTAATCAGATTTTTTAAAAAGAAATACTAAAATCAGCATCTGGGAAGTGACTTAAAAGCATAAATGTGAGAAAAAAAATGTATTACCGTGCATGTTAAGATTTCCTGTATGAGATCAGTATGCATAGTAGTAAACCAGATGTTTCTATCAATTTCCTACAGTCAATACAAAGGACTGAGCAGATAAACTCCTATTTGCCATGTGATAAGTAATGGCATTTGACCTTTTCTGTCATAATTAGCAGAACTTGTATCACATCAACTAGACATGGTATGTCACAGCCCTTCAGAAAGCACTTCTATTATAAGAGCTCTCAGAGGAAGTGATTAATGTTGTTGCTTTGCAGCACTCATGCAAAGGTACTTGTGGGGTACAGAGTTTCTGGTTTTGATTTTCTAAAAAGGACTTCTGTCATTATCATGAACTCTATCTTTAATCATTCTTTATTTACTCAAAAGAAAATTTCAACAGCAAATTAGGAAAATCATTATAAAAATGAATAAAGAAAATCAAACCAAATGATGAAAAAATCTGAAGCATTTATCTCAATTGTTTATTGTGAAATTACATAATTTTCCATTAAATTTGGAATAACAGGTATTACATTTTTCTTTAACTCCAGAACACACACATAAATCCCTCTCTCTTAATTACAATTATTCTATCTACCAGAAAACTATACCTGCACCAATTTTCTAGCTTCCTCAGCAACATCTCCAACAAAGAATGTTGCTGATGTATCACCATGGTACCCCTGCATATGAAAGCCACATCTGTGAATCTGTGAAATGATTTTGAATACCATACAACAACAAAAATTTCAGAAGGGTTCAAGGATAAACTAGGACTGTTGAGGAAGCTAAAATTGAAGACAAGAAAGTTCTCACAATATGGGTACCTCAATTTATCATTTGAACTAGAAAACTAGTAGCAGTAGAGATCTTATGTGATGAAATAACAACTTACATTAAGATAAACTGTGACATCAATATTGACAATATCACCATCCTGCAAAACGAACAGTATATGGATCTTTTGATAGCATATCTAAACAGAGGAGGTGCTGGGAACGAGAATTTATTAGACAAACCTCAAGTTCCCGTGAATCTGGAATCCCATGGCAAATGCACTCATTTACTGATGTGCATACGCTCTTAGGAAACCCACCATAACCAAGAGGTGAAGGATATGCTCCATTGTCAATGATCATGTTGTGAACTGCTTGGTCAATTTCATCTGTTGTAATGCCTGGCTGCCAAGAGAAGCAAATAAAGAGTATAACTAAATGCAGATTCAACAAGTCAAAAGCTCCTAATTAACCCACCTTAATTTTTCAATCTTGTTGATTTTTACCAATGAAATTACTAGATCTTGTGCCCATATTCTGGAGTGACTTGCCAAAAAAATTTAAGAATAGTAGTAGATGGTACTACTGTTTCAGAAGTGATTCTCAAACAAATTATCAATACAATGTAAGATTATAATTCTCATATGAAGCAAATCAGGATCGACGCAATTCAACTCTTCATTCATTGTGATTACACAAAGTCAATTTGATACTAAGACCGTAGCAGCATGTCATTTGATGTCATCCCATGCCATGCATGGGTGTACTTCTGGTTTGCTTAGGATGATGAATCAACCAAAAAAGAACAAATTTTCACCTTCACCAAAGTCCCAGCATGCTGAAGAACCTGCGCAGCAAGTCTTCCTGATGCCCTCATTTTTTCGATTCCAAGTTCATCATGCACTTCAGGTCCACCAGAAATTCCCGGTGATTTCTGAGAATTTGCATATGGAGGCTGTAATATGTGATCAGGAACAGGTCGACGAGGTGACACCTTCCCTGGCCTCAAACATTTACGTTTGCTGTTAGGCACTTCCTCTATATTTCTGCTCATCACTGAAGAAAATTAGCTGCTCAAATCACATAATGAACACATACATGAACCACGAAAACTAAGAGAAAGCAAGAAAGCTATTAAATGGATGGCTTCAAACCCAATAAGCTAGTTCTATATTTGCATCTAGAACGAAAATATGTTCCACAAGTTGTCAAGCCATATGACTTGCCCGTATATGTATTGGTCATGTAAACTGACATAAGTACCTACAAGATACGGTGCTTGTTGCAGAGTCTAGACTCAATATCAGCAGCCAAGCAGAAATAGAAAAAACTTCCGAGTTTAAGAGGACATTTGAGTTTTATCATGAATGCGTTACAAAGCAACTATTAAACACCATTCAAGATAACAGGGCGTGCAATTGCGGCTAAATTTAGAAGAAAGTAGCACAACAATCTCTTGAATTAATAAAAGTTGTAACAATGACTTGCAAAATCAAGGGAATTGACCAAATGATATTGAGCAAGTTGGGATAGATATCACTCCCCTAAGCTAGTTGGGCTAAATGTTGACAAATGGAAACGAGCCAGGCAGCAAAGCATTCATTAAAAATTCTAACTTTGGAACCATACCAGGTTGTTCAAATAAAGGTGGTTTTGAATTGGTTGAAGACTTTGCATACCTTCTATTGTAGAATAATAGGTTGGCTAATCCAGAAAATGCTCGTGATAGTTGCATAGAAACATGTTTTCCTCCTACACACAGCAAGCAATTTGAGGAGACAGGAGAAATTTATCAGAAACATGGACAAGTAAGTTAAAAACATGAATAAACGGGAACAAAGAAAGAAATAAAGAAAGAGAGTGGGGCTCCCAAGTCAAAACTCATCACCTGGGTTATAGCGGAAGAGACGGTGAAGGGCACTGGCTGGAGATGGTCGAACAAAACTAGAGTCTCCAAGGAAGCTGCAGAGAATCCGTGATTGAATGGACGAGCCAACCACCACCGCCATGATACTCTCCTTCTTCTTCTTCCTCAATAAAAAAATGAAGAAGAAAATGTACAACGTTTTATCTGCAGAAAAAATCAGTTGTCGGCCTCTTTATCGGAGGCTGATCTCTCAAAACAGCTAGTAACGACTAACGACCGACTTGTTTCATGTTTGTTTATAGAGGATCCATCCAATGCCCATTTATTTGACTCGACAGTTCAAGCACAGACTCGGCAACACTACACTAGTAATATGTGAACAATACGAAACTCTTTTTTTCTAATATCAAGCGACCTATACAAAGAAGCAATTCCCTAGAATTTCAAACGAAAAAAAAAAAAAAAAAAAAAAAAAATCTATTCGAAACTCTCTCTCAGAAATATTTGTGCTGCTACCTACAAATACTAGGTGTGTTTGGACGGTAGATTATTAAAACATTGTAATATTTTTTTTATATGATGTATGTGAAATAAAAAAATATATTTGTGATACAAATAAATAAATAAATGGACCAATGGTGATTTATAATTGCACAGACTCGTGGTTAGTGAGTCTTTAAAGCCGAAAAAAATCCCAACCACGGGCTCCTGAACTAAGTTGTGCCTCGTGGGCCCCGGACAGGCTAATATATGGTAAGCCCATTTATAGTGGGCTATGAAGCGATTTACTATAACAACATGCCAGCCTTGTATTTATAGATATAGGCTGCGCACTCCAACGACTATGAAGGGCATAAGCCCGAGCCAACCATCGCTTGGTGTTGGGCCTACATTTCGTTGAAACGACAGAAGCGCTCCTCCTCTGTGTAAACTGTAAACTCTGAATTGAAGCGATTAGCAGCACGAAAGAGGGAGTGATTACACACACACACACACACACACACACATATATATATATATATTCCTACAACTTGTCTAGGGTCTCTACCTTTTACCAATTTGCTTCTCACTCCAGGGCTGCAGGGTATGAGTATGACTTAGCCATTATTTCCTTGATAGGAGCTCCACAATTGGATTTCCTTAGCTTTTGCTGATAATCTGTTTTGAAATCTATAAAATTGCTTTTTTTCTAATTTGTACTAATTCCACTTGTGTTTTTCAACGGAAGCTTGCTGGACGTAAGACTCCGCCATGGACCACAGTCGGTGAGTGTCATGATGAGGATGGCAATTAATGTGCGTCAAATACAGAGGACGGAAAGGTCGTTAAAAGGTAGGGTTGACAACTAATATGAATTAGTATGTGAATAGTAGTAGTGATCTCTGAGACTGAGAAACCAGGGAAGATGCGGTAAAACAATCTTTAGGCCTAGCAAATCAAGATGCAGCACGCATCCTTACGTTAAGCCCCAACCAATGTTTTTAAACTCGGACCGGCCAGTGAATCAAAAAAGGGGCTGGTTCGAGGTCCGATCGGCCCGATCGGTCGATTTACCGATTCACTATTTTTTTCTTTTTTTGGGCATGCAACTTCAGTGCTAAAACTAAGTTAAAAAACATAGTTATTGATAACTTAAGTTCTTAAAATGCAATCACTAAAATAACTTAAAACTAAATTTAAGTTGAGATAATAATAAAATTTCTAAAATTTATACATGAAATGGAATGATAAACATAACCAAAATATCGTAATTTGCCACAAGTTTTCTTTCTACTTTTCCTATAAATAATGTAGTAAAAAAACTCGATGAAAATTGGACATGAAATAGAGCACAATCGGTCTATGAAACATTTGCCATATTCAATTTATATTTTGTCTTTATTTCTATTTGCAACAATATTTTTGGGAACATTTCTTACCCAATCTCTTATGCATTCATTTATTTAAATTTCTCTTCAACATCAGTCCAAAACAAAAAACCAAGTTGGACTGTCTGCAATTTGCATTAGTTAAAAAAACAAAAACAAAAAAAAAAAACAACCCACGAGACTGTCTTTTTCCTTGTATTCCCCCAACAAAGCAAGAAGGGTACAAACTAAAATTTTTTTTAAAAAAAGGACTAATGGAAGAAAACAATAACAGTTATAAAATGAAATTGCCCATAGCATAGGTGTCTTTATTATATTTTATTTTGCTAAATTCAGAATCAATTTGCTAAATTCAAAGTGAATCAAAAAATAGAAAAAAGGGGATTACATGCAACAAATTTTAGCCCAATTAAAACAAATAAAACCATAAATTCTCCAAAAATCAAAGATATATGTAGTTTAGTACGGCATTTGAGTGTATCTTTATAGGACAAAAAATGGACAAAAAACTGACAAATTCATGTAAAAAAGAAAAGAAAAAAAAGAAAAAGTTGATTACTAGATTAGTGCTTCTTTGGATTTCTTTCAAAATTTACCTGCGAATCTCAACTCTGCAACTGAGCCGAAGAAGTGATGCAAAAATAGTGCAAACTAGACCAATATTCAATTCACGACTGAAATGCCAAAATGAGAAGAGGAAAAAGAAACAGAACAGAGAAGAATGACTGACTGAGCCACCGACACTAAGGAATTGAAGCAAACAAAGAAATAGGAGGCTGACGCGTTTTAGTGCTAGGATATTTTCAATTTTTTACTTAATAAGTTAAGTAGATGTCCACCCATAACAAACTTGCCTATGGCTTAATAGTAAAGAACCCTCCTTGCAATCTTAAGAACCGATGTTCGATTCTTAGTAGCCACAATTCTGAAACTACTTTTGCAATGTTTATAAAAGTTTCAAAAATCGCCGGTTTAAGGTCTAAGTGATTTTTCACGGTTCGTTCGGGTCAACTAATTTTTAACGGTTTTTCATTAATCTCCAGCTTTAGCTCCAAACCGGACCGGTGACATGCCCGGTTTCTAATCCAATCGGTTGAACCGACCGGTCCGATACGGTTCTGAAAACATTGGCCTCAACTCTCGACTCAGTATATTGGGTCTGTAAGGAGACAGCGATTGACCAAGTCCATGTCATTGTCATTGCATGATTGGTTAAGAGATGTGCAGGGCTATCTATCTATCTTTAGACCGGGGGCATGAACAGTTAACAGAAAAATCGTTTGGATCGATTTTGTGCATTTTACACAATATCTAATTCAATTTATGTATAATGTAGTACAACTTGTAACTATAGAATAAAAATTTGCGGATTTTACACATGATATGAAAAATGATGTACAAGATTAAATCTGGATCATATATATTTTTTTGATCAAATCTTGGCCATCAACCTTTGACAACGATTGCTTCCTGCCCAATTTCTATATATCTTCTGCACATTTGCACGATGACAGGAAGTAGCTAGTGCGTTATCTTGTGTGAGTTGTGTTTTATGAACTCAATCATTCGACTGAACAAACGACCACAATATACCTTTTTCTTTGCAAGTAACTGTGTAATTCTCAAGGGTATACCAGGAAGATGATGTTTGAAGCGTCAAACTACTTCGACACAGATCCGTTCACTTGGCGCCTTAAGAAGATTTTCTGTACGGTGTACTTTTAATTCAGGATTCCTGCGAACAGGATAAAAATTACAGATTGAGTTCCAACTTCCAGGGGTTAGGGCCGCCTAACTATTTCACGACTAACAACGATCCTTTACATGTATTTTTCTGCATCATCCTTCTGGTCCTCAAAGTGTCATAAGAGCGAAGGCCAATCGGGCATGAAAAGGAGCATTTCGAAGTTCAATCACAACGTAACTCTGGGACCGCGAGCTGAGAGATCCTACGAAGAAGCTGTTGACCTCGTAGTAGCCCAGCAGGCCCGCCCCCACTAAGTGCAAATACGGCGACTGAGGCCCAAAGCGTGGTGATTCGTCGTCTTCTAGCTTCCTTGAGGCCCGCAGAACTTCTGGAATCCAATGCTGTCAGTCAGAAGGCTGCTGAAACAAACGACTGGGGCCCACGAACGCCATCCTCCCCCGAGGGGCCCCCAAGTTTCTTACTCTCTTTCTTCTTTTTTTTTTTTGGGATTATTTCTTACTCTCATTCATGAATACTAAAACGGAAGAGGAGGGGCACGTGTCAAGATGAGCATATAAGCGAATATCTCAATTCTGGTCCCCACTCTGTTACGAGTTGATGGTGATTGACCATGAACCCCATGTTCTCCTCGAACAGTCTAAGGCTAGACTTGTAGATAATTTTCTTTTCGTTTTTTCCAATTAAAACTTGATTCCATGAGACCTTCAATAGTTAAGATAAAGACTCGTAAATTTACAGATTTTAAATTCAAATCTCTACTTCACCTTCCTCCTCCTGTTTCTTAAATCTCATCTTTTTCCCGTTGAAAAAAAATTAATCAAAAGAAAAACTTGATATCTGATCATTAGAGGATATTTTAGATTTCGACAATTTGATGAGGATGTCAAGGATCTTCTCCACACAAAAAAAAAAAAAAAAAAAAAAAAACACAAGGCTTTGAATTGCAACGGGTGAAAAGGGAAGCTACGAATATGTATGAGATGTAAGGATGGGATCATGTTATTCCATAGCGTGTACATTCTGCTTCCTGTGGATACGTTGCAAGGTTGAAGCAATGCAATACATTTTTTATAGGAAGAAAAAAGAATATATGTACTTTTTAGTCTTTTTCATAAAAGAAATGAAACCCATTTTTTGGCTTCTTATTATAGAACATTGACACGTAAAACATTAACGCAATCCACATTTTAATTTTTCTTTATTCTTGCCATCCTTAACACGAGCTAGCTAGACGCGAGGAGAAAGAAACCAAACAGCTTCAATCACATCGACTCTCTGAATTAAAATGGAAAAACCACAATGAAAAGGGGAAGAGAAACTCTAGGAAGTAAATACCTCATTTTACTGCAGTGACAATTAGTAAAAGCAAAAATTGCATTAGTTTGTAAATTAGCATTGAGTTGAGAAATTATCAAGAAAGAAACCACCAAAAAAAAAAAAAAAAAACTCCTGTTAACGTCTGAAACGATGTAGCCAGCCAGTAAAAGGTCGAGGGATATATACGATGGTTTTTGTGCAATGCGCATCGCCCTGCAGAATTTAGAATGATTGGTGCCATCAGTGCACGAAACTTCTCCTGCACGCTGCTGCTGCCTTTTCTTCTTGGATGTATAGCATGCTGGAATTATTTGTTTGGACAGTGGCTTGTTTGTTAAAATTTATTTACTTACATCATCAACACATTTTTTCAATCATCTTTTTATTTCACATACATTACATTAAAAATAAAATTACAATATTTAAAAAAATTATCCAAAATAACCTACTATCCAAACACTCACAAATTTCTTTGTTTTTTCTTTGTGGAAGTATATAGCACTAGCAGTAGGTTGCAGCACAATGTTCACTTTCTGATCTCACAGCAAGAATC